TCAAAAAATGAAGCGCCCACCAGATTGCCCTGCTTGGATCCGTCCGTATATAGGGTTAATGCCGCGTCAGATTGACCCCCCTGGCTGCCTGTTCTACATAAGGAGGGAAATGAGACCAATCAGGTAAAGCTAAGGGATCCGGTATAGCGCAAGTATGGCTAAACAATAAGGGAAAAGTTTGGGTAAGGTACCTAGGATGATTGGGGGTTGGGGGGATGGAGAGGGTCAATTGAGAAAGTTTTAAGAAAGACTGGACCAGCAATGGAGTTCGTTTGTTTTTCCAGTATCGATTTGTGCTAGAAAGCATAGCTAAGTGTCTGATACGAGCAATAACAGGGTGATTTTCAATAACCATGCGGGAAGATAAAAATCTGCCAGCCACCAAAGATCGTCGCATGTTCAGAGGCATAATTTTGGCCTCCACCTGGAGAGCATTTATTGGTGAGGAATGCATGGCTCCTAGACATATTCTGAGACATTTATTTTGAATTTTGTCCAATTTCGACAGATGAGTTAAACAACACTTTTCTTTCACGCTAATAAATTACATTCGGGCGATGACAAATTGAACCCGTGAACCTTATTTACTGATGTTACAAGTTCAGGCCACACAGAATGAGTCAGACAATGGTCATGTAAATAGAACCGACTGAGTCCTAGGGATGGGACATCCACGTCAAACCATCGATGTTCGATGTTTTAATTTTTATGTATTTATTATTAAAGCAATGTTTTACTTTTATTTATAAGAAAAAACAAGAAATAAATTTTCTTTAAAATTTAATTTATTTATTTGTAGCCTATATGTACTTGTACATAATACAAATGTGATCACAATGTATATTGTTCACCGCTCGGTCACAACACTAACACTGATGCCAGCGCTGCACCCGGAGGACGCATGCCATGAAAAGCCAGCCAGTGCTGGCACTGATTTTAATAGATTAAGGGGCAAGGAGGTCTCAGGGCCATCGTCGTTTTAGCCGACGTGGTGGATTCTCGGGATGGGAATATGTGGAGAGGGCTCTAGCGGTAGGGTTAGGATGGATCGATAGGTTGGTATGAAATTTTTGGAATCGGAAATGGTTCAGTTCGTGGACAAAAGGAACGTTGAGGTCTTTATGGATAGTGAGGTTAGAGACGTAAAAAGGAGCTTTGACGATTTGTCTGAGGACTTTTGATTGGAAGGACTGGATACGCTGGATATTGGATGGTTTGGCGGAACCCAACAGTTCCACACCGTATGTCCAAAGTGGTCGCAATAAAGTCTTGTATAAGGTCAGTTTAGTGCTGATGGTCAACCCGGATTTTGGTCCTAGTAGTCTGCGTAATTGTCCAAGTCTTCTGTGGAGTTGTTGTCTATTAAGTCTTGTGTGGGGATTCCACGTCAGTCTACTGTCAAGGTATAGTCCTAGGTATTTGACTTGAGTGGAAGTCGGTGTCTCTTCGTTGTTGATGTATAGTGGAGGGCAAGACTGTTTTTTCAAAGTGAACGTACATTGGATGCACTTTTCGTTTAATCACACGTTTAATCTCGTCCTCCACTTTTTGCACCAACCTTCGATAAGCTCAAGGTGTTCTTGGATATTAGAGGTAGCTTTATTAGAGGCAGGATTCAAGTTAGAGGACAAAATTGCGGTATCATCCGCGTAGGTGGTAATGATGGTATTGGGGTTAGTAGGTAGATCAGCAGTATAGATGGTATAAAGGATAGGACCAAGGATACTCCCTTTTATTGGCCTGATTTCAGAGAACTCGGAAATAAAAAATTAGATAATAAAAACAAGGAAAAGTTCACGAACGGTAATCAATTAATGTAATGATTAATTTTCGTTTCGTTTCAACCCTAAAATGTTTAGGTTAAATACGTGTTAATAACAAACAATCGAAGAATTCACTATTTTATTAGTTATTACAATGAAAGGAACAAAGTTTTATCCACGATTTAATCATTGGTAATGCCCAAAAATAATGTATTTAATTCAATTAATTAAGGTTTTTAGTTGAGATAAAAAAGTCAGCGTCACGAGCGGGATTCGAACCCACGACCTTCGGCTTGATACGTCGCTACTCTACCACTTGAGCTGTCGTGACTTCGATCCACTCGGGCACTAACTTCCTATCTCAACCCCATCTTTTTGAATTTTCACTTCTTTTTGCCATTTTTCATCTCAACTGAAAACCTTAATTAATTGAATGATATTAATTGGTCAAGCGGACCACGAAAACTAGTGAATTTAATGTATTTAATATTGGAGTATTTTAAAATTGAAATATAATGTGTGGAGTAAAGTCAGTTGGAAAATAAAGAAGGTGAACGTAGTTAATGCCAAGCGTAAAAGATTTCCCATGAGGTCGTTGCTAATGTTTGGCAGACCAATTGTGTAAACATCATAGTAACAAGGTTTTCCGTCATGTTATCGTGCCATCACTATAAATCGCGCTGATTAATAGAATCAGATAGGAGCCGTTAATGCAGAAGGTGGGGCTATTTTCGTTGCTCGGCATGAACGCTGATACGAGCTAAACGCTGATGTTTAAAGCCTGATTACCATTAATACCTCGGTCAAATCCCCATTGGTTCGCATAAACGCATAGTGCAAATTCCATTATCACGTCTAATGACTTGATTACACGCTATTGATACACTCCAGATGTATGGGCACAGGTGGCAAGGCAATTTGTGAACCAAAGCTCGGCCCATTGGTGTCAATCACACACGGGAAAAACTAATCGTTCTTCGTTTTATGATTTTATAGTAAGACAGGCAAGACCATAATCAAATGAAAATAAGAATTAAACGGGAAAGATTTTGTTGAAGTTGTGAGGAGCGGTGAAGAACAAGGTAGGTTAAAAAACACCTGTTTCATTTTTTGCCAACGTTTCGATCTTCATTCGAGTCATCTTCGGGCCATGAAGTGTGGTGGTATTCTTGTTGTGTCATATTGGTTTTGTGTGAAAGTGTTGTGACACACAAAACCAATATAACACCAATAATAAAATAGCGCCACACTTTATGCCCTGAAGATGACCCGAATATAGGTCGAAACGTCGGCAAAAAAAGGTGGTTTCTAAATTACCTCATTCTTGATCACTCCTCACGACTTCAACAAATACCGAAACAACAGGTCACTAAGAAACATCCAAATTGAGAAAATTTACACACGAGAAGAATTTTTCCATATATAGGCTGAGTTTACCTTCTATTCCATTCTTAATTATTCTTATTGGGTCGTTTTTAGGAAAAATCCAGAATCGAGTAAACGTTTATTTTTTGTCTAGTTTCTCATCAATCAAAAAATTTTGATTTAATTTTCCAGTATAGCGGAATACGAATAGTACGAGTACGAATAACTATTTAAAATGGCATGATACTCCTCAAAGTACATTTCTGAAATTTTTTTTACGCTCATCCAGACGTCCCAGCAGATCGTACCTTCCAACGACTTCATCAGACGCTGAGGGAAACTGGTTCTTTCACACTTTTGCGACAGTGCACAGTTTGGAACGAAATGACCACCAGCGTGAGTTGATTTTTTCCTCATCCATAACAAACACCCTCGTAAAATGTTAAGGGTACAATCCTTCCCGTCGGAATGTATCCCAACCGCTCCATTGTGAAACACCAAGGTTTGTACGTAACGCACCAGTACTGGTTTCGGGATCATGATTAAAAGGATGCAAAATTTCCTCATCAACATCAATTCACTGATTGCCTTCCCTCGTTCTTCGAAGTAAAAGACCAGTTTTCCTCAGCCTCTGATGAAATAGTTGGTGTGATCTGCTGGAACGTCTCAATGTGGAAAACGAGCTTGGTATTCTCCCCTTGCAGCAATAGCATTACCGTTGCACTAACCGTAAATGAAATGCATATCAGCAAGATGTGCATTAGGAATCAAGGGCATAATTAAAATGATCAACCTGAGGAAGTTGTCAGCTGGTAACATAAACCAAACTGATTGAACTGAACATTAAAGAACTGAAACGAAACTCAAGAGCCAGATGGATTTCTTTGAAAAACTGAACGTGCCCACCTTCATCGACACCAGTTTTTTTCTCAAGAAAATGCACAATTTTTGGGCATTCTAGAAGAACAATCCAAAAAGGTGGGTATACCGCTGGAAGGTAATTGAATGGAAAACTTTTGACGTAATTTGCAAAGCTCCAGGAATTAGTAGTTAATAACAGTTACCAATCCAACATTTAAAAAAAAAAATCCAAATTTCAACATTTTTGTTTTCTCTGAATTTTTCGTGTAGAACTTTTTCATCAATTCTAAAATGTAAATAGGCTACCTTATAGAAAATTTAACGTTCTTTTAGGAGGCACAAACCAGATTTTTCTACAGTCAGTGATTCTGAAGTTTATAAGCAATTTAGTGAAAGTCAAAAAATTCAAAAAACCTAAAACCTGAAATTATTTCTTTACTGTTGAGATTTGGACAAGGGTTTATAGGAAGTTTTTTGTTGCGTATGGTGAGTAGAAACACCTACTGAACCTTCTTTTAAACACCTACTGAAATTTTCGACACTTATAGCCAGTCACACTGCATAACTACTCTAATTTGGGGTACTCAATATACACTTCACACTAATAAATACATTCATTTTCAACACATCCTAGGGACACGAAACTATATACAATAAAACAACCATGCTTCCTCCATGAATCGGAATACGGACCCAGATACTACCTGCCGTTCTCAAACACGATTCTCATTTCGTATGGCATTCTTACACGCTCTTTATATGGAACCAGGAATTACACCCTTCAATTATGTGGGACACAAGCAACCTTTCATATAAGTAAACCTTGATAGCGGATATATATGCGGGCCTTGGTCCCAAATGAAGTATCCGTGTGTCAACCACTCTGGCCTATCCTTAATCGGGTGAAAAACTAAAGATATAAACGTATGGGAGATCGCTAAATTCATCTTATTCTTTAGAGGACAAATTTTTCTCTATGAAAACATCATATTCTGGAAATGTTTAGTTCACCTGTGTAGTTTGTAAGAACGGTAGTCGGGATGCAAGAAGGCAACTTCGAACTCCAGACCCCGTTCTGGCACGTCAACTGAGACTCTCCCAAGAGTTTGTAAAGACCCAGCGGCTCCCTGCACCTGGCATAGAGGACGGAATTGTGCGGAAATGTGCCGTTAGTCATCTGAAAACAAAAAACAACATATATTTTTAGGAGTTTGTACCAGCTTCATGACTGGAATTTATGATGTTGTAATAACAATCTGCTAGAAAACACTTTTGGGCTTTAAGATTAAAGTTAAGGGTAAGGTTAAACTGAAGCCTTTTCGATCTACCATACTGCGACCAATATTGGCTTGAAGATATGATGTTCGTTGATCGGCCGGCAGATAAGCTATGTAGGGTTCGGGTGACAGTGATTAAATTCTGGGTTCACCGAGCTTTCGGCATTTTAAAGTGCCATCATCAGAGCTTTACCAAGGATGAAGGAAATTAATATGAGAAACTATTGTAAAAAGGCTTTGGCTTTAAGGTTATGGAGCACATGACCAGCATAATACATTTTGACGGTGAAAACAGACATCTCGCTAAAAAATCCATTTGACTAAAGGTCCAACTATTTTTTTGTTCTGACGAGCAATTTCTTTCAGGTACTTTTGTGATCACGGAGAATATTTACAAAATTTGCCCTTTTTTATATATTTGAAAATAAACTAAAGCTATGTACAGAAACTGTGTACAGAGGATTATAAATTAATAAGAGAGAGCGACGAACCTCGTCGCCTAGGGTTGGACTGCTGTGATGAGCTTAAAAATAAATTACTTTTAGTTGGACCTTTAGTAATATGGATTTTGAGCGAGATGTCTGTTTTCACCGTCAAAATGTATTATGCTGGCCATATGCTCCAAAGTCTGAAATCCAAAACCCTTGTACAATAGTTTCCCATGTTAATCGTCTTCTTCATCCTTGTTAAAGCCCTGATGATGACACTATGAAGTGCCGAAAGCTTGGTGAACTCAGCGATTAGTCTTTTTTCACCCGTCTAATGACCTCTACGAAGATTGGAACCCTACATCAATATTGGCTTATTATCAAACTCCTTATTATCTAAAGTTCTTTGCTGAGCTTAAGACTCTTTACATTTGTTAAAGTATCTCGTATCTTTCATGCCTTTTTCATACCTAGTAGTAAGAATCTCACAATTTGCCCCCTAATGGAAGACCTGTTCCGCAGTTAGACTTTTTTTAAAACTTTTCCACATTCCCCTGTCCTGGATACAATACCATTAAAACGAGACCGTTTTAACCATAATCTAATGGATTTATATTTATAGCAATTAGATTTGCCTCAAAATGGTTCAGGGAGGTGCCCTTGGTTTATTTATCGACTTCCTTATTTTTCCTCTACCGTCTTTGACCTCGTATCCCCACAAGGGTAAGTTTGTTATTGCTCTAGATGTCTGGTAAAAGCCTCGGTAGAGCCTTGGTGCATTTCGTAATATAATACAATAGTAATACCAAGCCTTTTAATATCACTAGCACAGTGTTTGATGACTACAGTTTCTGTCTGAAGTACAAGGTCATATGTCTTATATGAATTTAATCAGAGACACACGTACCAGATCCTGTCTGCATAGACGGGGGAGGGTGCATAACCATCTGTATTATGGGGTAACAGAAATGTTCCAAGGTTCAGCCCCTGTTATTCTGGGATTGGACTCGTAGTTGACCGTGGCGACACCACTGGCGGGTACCTGAAGAAGATGCTGTCTTCTACCTGTGATCTTTGCACGAAACTCGAGTATGACCATCGTTTTCTCCCGGCCTCATGGGATACTAAGGATCGGACAGTCGAGGCGTTTAGCGTTGAGGACGCTCAGACTACGCTGACGGAGTCCCGCGAATGCGTGAGTAGTGGCGGATGGAAATGGGTAGTGAATCGGTTGCTCCTATTCCAGTGCGCTGTGCTAGCACCTGTACGTAATGTGCTCGATTGGCGGCTTTTTACCGTAGGCAGTCTCCTCTAGGGGGTGGTTAGCAATTCTAGTTTAAACGAAACCGCGGCCGGAGCGGATCCGGAAGTTTCTACGTTGGGGAAGGTTCAATACTCTGGGAGATAGAGTGGCCTTCTCTATCCAGGGAGTGCGCGGGAGACCGGGCTGATGTATTTCGGCCTAGATAGCCTTTGGCGCGCGGCATATGGTGTGATGTTTAATGCAGACCCGACCACTCGGAACGGGCAAGCGGGTAGCGAGGTTGTCTTGGCCCTTCGGGACTGAGCCGCCTCTACACCAATTCTGCGGCAGTAACACCATTCTGTTGTATGTGGAGGTGCGTCAGCTCTCATCTTGAGAATCAAAACGTCCGATAAGGCCGAATAGGCGAGGTGCGGACGTTAAAGATCCTCAGAGTCATTTTTAGGATGACCGAGTATGCGGGAACTTAATGTCCTCAACGGAAGGTCTACCGTGACCTTCCCTGTCTTCGAAATCGAAATCTGTAAAACAATCGCTAATGCTTTCCTCTCCCGAACTGAATTGGTGCTACGCGCAGTTTGGGCCCCAGTTCGCCCAAGTTTAAATTCGTACAAATAAATTTGACGAAAACCTATTTTGGACATTTTTAACTTCGGAGGTCCTCACTTTTATTAAGTTCAATATAAACTAAAATATTTTGTATAAAAGATAACAGTTAAAAATAATTGTTTTTGAACCCATCTCTTCCACCTTTTTTGGCTCTCTTTTCCGCCAGCTCTCGGATCGAGCACATTTCCTATCGCCCTGTCATCTCCCCTAAGTGTTGCATAATAGTAATTAATTACCGCATAAGATCGCCCGTTCATCGCCGTTTCTTAAAGTCTCATCGCCACGCGAATCTCCACGGATTCCCCTTCAAATCGCCATACGATCTTAAACTCCGCGTCCATCCCATCTCCCAACCCCATGGTCCCAAACTTATCATCGCCATTTTCTCTTAACATCCTCATCTCCGTTGATTCCCGTTATATCATCCCTCGCTCCTTATCATCCGTATACCAAGAATCATCGCTCATCATCTAGGAGAAACTCCCTTTCGCCATATCACTGCCATCGCCATTTCATCCACCTTCGTCGAAACCGCGGCCGGAGCGGATCCGGAAGTTTCTACGCTGGGGAAGCCTCAATACTCTCGGAGATAGAGAGGCCTTTTCTATCTAGGGAGTGCGCGGGAGACCAGGATGATGCTTCGGCCTAGGTAGCTCTTTGCGCGTGGCATACGGTGTGATGTTTAATGCAGACCCGACCACTCGGAATGGCCAAACGGGGAACGAGGTTGTCTTGGACCCTCGGGGCTGAGCTGCCTCTACAACAATGCTGCGGCAGTAACACCATTTGGTCGTATTTGGAGGTGCGTCAGCTCTCATTTTGAGGATCAAAACGTCAGATAAGGCCGGCAGGCTAGGTGCGGAGGTTAAAGATCCTCATTGTCCTTTCAAGGACCACCGATTATACGGGAAAGCAAAGTCTTACATGAATCTTATGTAATTCTATAGATCAGTTTCTGATCTATGCTCGGACTTAGAGGTATCTGCATACCAGATATGATAGCATAAACTGGGACCCTTTTCTTACAGACTGCTCTATCGTTATTTAAACTGGCAATTTATAAATTCTGTCATCAGCGTTTCATCAGGTAATCCCCAGAATGTGTATATCTGGAGTTGCGCCCCTACGCTCCATTTTATGGGAAAAGGTTATTGGAGCATGTCATTAGCTTCTGAATTGTGGATCTACTTTGTTCAGTATAAAAATAGGGTAGATCCAGGAGGATATCCAGGGTAGCAGTGGAGGTCGTTTTCTCATTTTCCTATTATTCGAGGCACGTGCTGAGCACTACACAGAACCCTGAACACCCATAATATTGGACACTAGTTTTTCTCATAAAATATGTTGCTTTTTAATTGGCTCCATTAATTACAACAAATACTAACTAACACTAATAACTAATTTCTTTTATCATGCCCAAATAGAAAATTCGTTGGTGTTGTTTAAAGTTCGCAAAACACAAAAACTAGCATTTTTTAAACAATTCCACGACTGTCATTGTGTGCACGAAAGTGGGAATGAGTACTTTCCGCCTCTCCCAAAACGAGAATTGTCTAATATTAATACTTCCCAAGAGTATAACGGCGAATTTGCAACATAATATCGAGGGACAACTTTGAGAGCAAGGGGTGAATCGCTCTATTCAATTACGGCTCCGCCCTTGCTTCCTCCACTTCATTGATTGGTATCATCCGAATAACTCGTCTCTCGATGCTACTTCTCCATATTTCACTCTTTCGCGCTGTTTTCTAGCTGGAAAATTTTCACACCGTCTCATTTTCGAAATAAACCGAGCTTATTAATTTACCTGGTTAAGAACAGGATCAATTAAGAATTAACTGCAGAATGATGGCTTCGTCTTTATTAACCCGGAACTCATTCAATTTATTCTCAGATTAACTTCAAATCATTCTACTTCATACAAGCCAAAATATTGTTTCAGTCGTATTTTACACATTTAAACGCGTGGGAACATTCAGAAATCTCTTGAAATAATTTATATCAATTTCTAATATAAATTATTATGTACCATTATTAGTATCAAGTAATGTAAATCCGAGGAAGGGAAATTTCATGGTAAATCCATTTATTCGTATTTTAATTATAAAAGTATTTGACATACATAAGAATATTTTTTCGTTAAATGGATAAGCAATAAATCTCTTTCATGTGGAGTCGTAATGTTTTGTTCCTTTAGTTCTTTAACTAAACTCTGGCGTGCCGAAAGCAATTGAATTGTCAAAATGCTTTACAAAACTCTCAATCAGTGCGTTGAGTGAGAGGAACTAAGAGAGATAGAACGTGAGAGAGTAAGAGGATAAGAAAGAGAGAGAGAGAGAGAGAGAGAGAGAGAGAGAGAGAGAGAGAGAGAGTGTGAAAGAGCAAAAAGAAAGAGAGATGTACTAGTACGAAAACGTTTGAGAGAAAGAGAAAGAAAGAGAGAGAAAAAGAGAGGTGCATCTAGTAATAAAAAGGAAGAGAAAGAGATAAGAAAAAGAAAACAGAGAAAGAAGGAAAGCAAGAAGCGAGGGATAGGAGATAGAGAGAAGAGGAAGAGTGGGGAAGAAAGGGAGAGAGATAGGAAGAGGGGGGGAGAAAG